AGAAAGAGGGAGGGAGATTAACTGCTCCTTAGGTTTGCCAGGGACCAGATTCTCCTGTCCGACCTCTGTCCTGCCCTGAGGCTGAGAGGACCATCCTGCCCCCCCCTCCAATGCCCATTCCAGCCTTTCTCTTCCTCTTTCCTGCAGCAATCCGTCAAACTGCACAACCTGGTGGAGGAGCACAACAGGGTCGAGGTCACAGCCTGGACTAAGCATGAAGGTATACATGGCGGGACCCTGGCTCGGGATGGAGGGGGGGTTCCAGGTTTCCCCCTCCACACCAGCCTCTTCGCGTCCAAGCATCTCTCAACACGGGGGGAGGGGGGACTGCAGATGCCCAGGAAAAAGGGTCCTCCGCTTTTAGACCACCTTCCAGTGGAGGTCAGCCAAGAAGCCCCCCAAAAGGCCCCCGTGACTCATTTCTAACATGTCCCCTCCTGCTCCCGTCGTCCTTTTTTCTCTCTCTCTAGGTGCCCAGAAGATGGAGTCCTGCCACTTAGTCCCCGGGGACATCCTTCTCCTGGAAGGGCAGAAGTTTTCTCTGCCCTGTGACGCCATCCTGCTGGAGGGAGGCTGCGTGGTCAACGAGGGGATGCTGACAGGTACGGAGGCCCCCCTTGCCCCCTTGCCCCCTCCCACCTGTCCAGCTTGGACCTTCTTTTCCCTGGCCCGCTGCTTCCACTGCCATGGGCCGAGGTCACCTCTGGCTCAGAGAAAGAAGACCTGGCCAAGCCATAGGGTCTGATCCAGATCGGCTGCGGAAAGGACCCGGGGCGGTTCCTGATGGGGGTCGCTGGTCTGGTTGCCAATGAGGCTGAGTTGCCCTGAGCCTGGTGTGATCCGTGTGGCCCTTGCAGGCGAAAGTGTTCCGGTGACCAAGACCTCCTTGCCCCACGCTGACCAGACCCTGCCCTGGAAGAAGCACAGCACGGAGGATTACCGGCGCCACGTCCTCTTCTGCGGCACGGAGATCATCCAGACCAGGAGGGCCAGCAAAGGCCCGGCCATAGCGGTTGTGCTGCAGACGGGTGAGTTGAACGGATCCGTGGCTTGGCTCCTTTTCACCGTGAGGCCAGGAGCTCCTTCATACATGAAGAAGGGGGGCATCAGGAAGACCGGGAAGTTGCCGTTGTAGGTGGAAGCGCGAGGTTGAGCCCAGAAGGACAGGGCTGCAGAACTGGCAGGGCTCCCTCAGGGTTGTTGTGCTGCAGATGGTTGAGTTTGGCAGATCCGAAGCTTTCCTCTTCTTTACAGCAACACAGTGACCCACTCCCTCTGTGTGCCTGTGGGCTTATGTGTGTGAGAGAGAGGGAGGGA